GCATCTGACTTAGTTGCTTAGCACCAGCCTCCATCTCATTTAAATGATGCTACGGTTGTGACCTGGAGCCTTGATGGTGTCGTGATTTTGCATTGAGCTGCAAGCCACAGGTTGGCAGTCTATAAACAGCTCCTTCTGCTCCCATAAACAGTTGCAGTCTCCAATCCTCACAGTGGGTTGCTGTAGTTAGCATTGCTTGTGATGGGGTTGGGGGTCGGGAGTGGAGGTGGAATTACCTTCTCTTTGGTGGATTTGCTCTGAGAATTGCTTGGCCAGGGAAGAAGAGGTGCTTTCAGGAAATAGAAATGATAACTCAGCGAAAGGTGAACTTACTTGGCAGACACACCTGGAGTTCGGGGGACACGAGTCATTGGGAAGGGTCTATCAGGTAAGCATTGGACTGCTAACCGCAAGGCAGCAGTTCAAACTCACCTGGTGTGCCTCAGAGAAAAGATGAGGCTGTTTGCCTCTTAAAGATTTACAGCCCCCCAAAACAAAACAAAATCCACTGCTGTCAAGTCAATTCTGAGTCATTGTGAGCCTGTAGGACAGGGTGGAATCTCCCCTTGGGGTTCCTGAGGCTCCAAATTTACATTGGAGCACACAGCCTTATCTTTCTCCTGTGGAGCGACTGACCTGCTGACTTCGTGGTTTGAACTGCTGACTTTGTGGTTAGCAGTTCAATTTGAATCCCACTGCAGCGCCAGAGAAAGGCTCTGTGGGGTCATGATGAAGCAATCGACGGGATGGTGACGGGTGATGTAGACGTTGTTGTCAGGGATGACGCAAGAGTGACTCAGGAGCGGGGAAATTGAACCCATGATGGAGCTGCCCTCCCTCTGTTGGAATCCGTTGAATAAACCTTCCAAACAAGCCAGTTGCCTTTGAGGTGATTCCAATTCAGGAATTCCAGTTCTACTCTGTGTCTCAGGGTAGAATTATGCTCCGTGAGCTTCTCAGTCACTGTGCTCTTTTGGAAAAAGCTCTCCAGCCAACCTTTCTGTTGGTTGCTCAGCTTTTGACCGTTCATACCACCCTGGCGCTCCATGGAATGCATCTTCCAAAACTGACTGCCATCAAATT